GCGGAGGCGGGCCGGGTACCTATGCCTGCCCCGTGACTGTCACTGGTTCGAGGACGCTGCACACAGGGTGCTTAGCCACAGTCAGGCGCTGATGACTTGTCCCTGAGCTGAGCAGCTTCCTGGGTCTTGGAACTGTGTTGAACCATTGAAAAGCCGCCATGATAATTAACGTTTTTATCTTCTGGTCTCCAGGTAGAGAGTGTTACTCAGTGACGCCGCACAGGTCCCAGTGTCCCATCCGGTAAGTGTGACAGGTGCACATGGCAGTCTAACCCAGGTGTCCATCAAGACGCAGGCAGTGTCCATCGCCCGGGAGCTGCACGCCACGGCCAGGCCATGCCATGCCCACCTCAGCTCTGCAGCGACTGCTGTGTCCACTGTCCACTGTAAGGGGTTTTTAAACGGGTCAGTCAGTCTGTGGCCCTCCTCTTCATGGCCACATGGCTTTTCCTGGTGAGCACGGGCCTCTGCTCTGGGGCTTTTATAGACAGCGCCACCAGGAGTGCCGCCAGGAGTGCTCGCGGAGCCCTGGGGCGCCGGCCGTGGACACTCCGCCCGTGTCATTGCAGTGTCCTGGTGACATGACGGGTATTTCTGTGGGCTTCCAGGCCATCCCTGCGTGTTCTCCAGGAAGCGCCTCAGGTGGGTGGGCACAGTATCCAGGGTCTGTCAGATGTGTGCTGAGTCTCCCCCTCCAGCCTGTGACTTGTACCCACTTGCGGAATGTCCTCACGGCCACCTTTGTTCTGGAAACCTTGACTGCACTGGGGTCATGACACCACCTCGGGCTTCCACGAGCCCCGTCACTCAGTTCCCACACTGGGGCTTAGGGACTGGCCCATTGCATGTGAGTTGTGTGTGGTGTGGGCTCACGCTCATGCTCACACTCACACTCAGGCTCAGGTTCGTTTTCTTCCTAACGTCCTTATTTCCACCATGACAGACAGCTCGGTGGGCTCAGCTCAGCCGGAGCACGCGCACATGCCCACAGAGGTTCCCGAGGCAAACACGACCTTTCTCGTGTGGGCTCGGTCGTGTTCCTGTTATGCCACATCTGGCCCTTGCTGGGTTTTGACCGACATAAGAAAGGATATAGACTCATCCCGTTCTCAAACGCGTGTACATAGTGGATGGCTTCCCAGGCTACCTTAGATGCTCTAGGCCCATTGTATTTCCGAAACATTTTTTTTTTTAAGGATTTTTTTTTTCTTCTGGAAAGGTTTTTGCTATAGGGCATGTGCGCTCACCAGAAAGAGACAGAAAGCAAGAAATCACCCCCAGGGGGGACAGCCATGCTTCCATCTGTTCTCCTCTCGGGATCTTGGGCCACCGGGTCCGGGACTTGAACCATGGTCGAGTCTAGCAACATAGCCATTATACCAATTGCTGGTCCCCATTTTTTTTTTTAAGAATTATTTTATTTAACCTTATTATTTTAATTTGACCAGAGAAAGAGAAGGAAAGTGACAAACCACTGTCAGCCATGTGGGAGTCCAGCACCTTTAACCACCACGCCACCTGCTGGCCCCAGTATTCCACATTTTAAACTTACTCAATTTCTTCCCAAAAACTTGCTGAGATTATGATAAGGATGTGTAGATCAATTTGGGACCAGTTTTTGTTTGGACAGTATTTAGTCTTCTACTATAAGGACTTACAGTGTATCTTTCTCTCCTGGTCTTTTTCACAGCAATGCTTTTGTGCTTTTCAGAATAGAGATCTTAGATGTATTCTGTTGAATTCCATCCTAAATTTTGTGTCATTATTACGTGACACTATTTTAAATGGGTATTTAAAATTTTTAGATTTCTTCTTGCTGGTATATAAAACACAATTGATGGGGCCAGTGGGTGGTGTGGTGCTGAAGGCGCTGGACTCCCACGTGGCCAACCACTGTTCGAGTCTGAGACCTGGCAGCTTGCTTTCCCACTCCCACTCCACAGTTAAAAAACAAAACAAACAAACAAAAAAAAACATAAAACAGAATATTTTTTTTTCTTTTTTAAATAATGCAATCAGGCTCTATGCACTGACCTTGTATTTTGTCACTTATCCATTTATCAGGTAGTTTTATTTCATTTATTTCTAGGATTCCTTAGGATCGTTTATATAAAAAGCCATGTCACTTGTGGAGTTTTTCTCCCTAGTGTTTATGCTTTTTCTCTCTTCTTAGTTGCACTGGCTAGCACTGCCCCAGTGTGCTATTGAGTAGAAGTGGTGAAGACGCCCTCCCGCTGGTCCTAACCTCGGGGGCGAGGCATTTAACAGTCCCACCCTTACGTACAGTAACACCTACCGTATTGCCTTTTACGTTTTTCTCTGTAGGTGCATGTGCTCGCCCGAGAGGTGGGGAAGAGGGAGGGACAGTGAGAGCACCTTGTGGGGTGGGGTGGCCACATTGCAGCCCTTCTCCCTTACCCTCGAGCTCTGGGGCATACATGCACTGCACCCAGTGTGTTTTTCAAGCTGCCAGATCTGGGACTTGAACTGCACTGTTGTCCACATGGGATCCAGCTGCCTGGAACTCCACGCCACCTGCTAGTGGCCCCAAGCTGTTGCTTTTTTGGGGGCACAGATACTCTTTACCTGGTTGAAGATGTTCCCATCAATCCCTGATTTGCCGACGTTTTATGACGGCTTTTTCTTTTCTTCTGTAGAGCAGTTTTAAGTTCAAGCAAAGTTGAGAGGAAGGCTCTAAAGACTTCCACACATGCACAGCCTCCGAATCAGCGTCCCCCACCTGTCGAGGTGTGCTGGTTACCGTGAGGAACTACGCTAAGGCATCGGCACCCGAGTGCGTAGCTTGTGTTGGGGTCCACTCTTGCCCACCCGTAGGTGTGCACACACGTGTCATATGCCAGGCATCGTTACCACAGCACGCAGGCTGTCTGCAGTGCCCCAAGCACTCTCTGAGCCATGGCTGCTCGTCCTCCCCCAACCCAAAACCCACTCATCTTTTACTGTTGCCTTTATCAGAATGTCACATCTTTTTTCTTTTCCTTTTTAAGGTTTTCGTGTGTGTGTACTTGCCAGAGACAGAAGGAAACTGAGAAATCATCCCCCAGGGGATATAGCCATACTGCAATCTCTTCTCCACTCTCCTTCCCGGATCTTGGGCACGCACACACACATACACGCACACGCCCGGTGTGAGTTTCAGACCACTGGGTTCAGGACTCGAACCATGGCCAGCCATGTGGGAGTCCAGCGACCTAACTGTTAGACCATTTGCTGCCCCCCACATCTTTAGTCATACAATATGTAGCAGTTTCATGGCTGCTTCAACTCAACAATGTGCCCTCACGTTTTCCCCAAGTCTTCTCTGGGTTGCCAGCTTCTTTCTAACATTGGATCTGTTCTTATGTCTGGGTGAGCCACAGTTTATCCAGTCACCAACTGAAGGATACTTCATTGGCAACTGTTAATAAGGCTGTAGTCAGCCTCCATGGGTAGGTGTAGAAAAAAGCTTCCAAGTCCTTTGGCGGAATATCCGGGTGTGACTGCTGGGCCAGGTGTAAGGGCGCGGTAGCCGTGAGAAGCTGCCCATCGCCTTCCCCGGTGCCGCACCACCACACTGCCCCAGTGACACCAGAGCTGCTGCTGCCCGCTCTCGCCAGCGCGTGGTGGGTCAGTGCTTGCAGTCTGGGCCAGTCGAACAGGTGCGTGGTGATTCCTCCTTTTAATTTTCATTTCTCTGGCACAAGTGTGTGCTCAAAATCCTCAAGGGTGGAAAAATGGAGAAGGGATGGCAGCATGACTACGCCCTGTTGGGGAGGGCTCTGGCATAAAAAACCCACACATATCTATGTGTGATTACGTGTTTGGCCGTACTTTCATACCTGCTTAGGCTGTGACCGTGTGGGCAACTACGACAGCCCCATTCTCACCAGTGCAGGACACTGTGCTCCACAGGCCAGAAGCCTGGGTGTGCACGCTCCATGGAATGGTTTTAGTTTTTAAGACAATCTAAGCCCAAACTCACATAAAAAGCTTTGCTCCTTGGTACCCCAGGTGCAGTTACCGTCTTGCCCCCAGTGGTGCAGAAGGCTGAGGAGCCCTGCGTGTGACCCTGTCCTGCTGTGCTTCACTTCAGGCCAGGAGGCCTTCTCGCCCTGCTGTCCGAGGTATGTGACAGCAGTGACTTCGCTGTGCCCTCGAAACGGCTCCTCCTCCATGTGTTAGCTTTGGAGTAGAGCATTCCGGTCCCACCTCTTCAGTCTGCAGGCCTTTGGTTTCTGCTTCCCCCAAGGTCTCCACTGCTTGGTCAGTGGTCTAGAGCAGAGGCTCTGCATCTGAACCGCGGTTCAAATCCTGATCCTATCCCCTACCTAGAAAATGCATTTGGCCTCTCCCGACTTGAGCCCCCTTCGGTATAAAATGGGGATCAGAGTACCCCTGTGGTGAGGGTTCGAGGCGACTCACCTCCGTGACGTGTTCCTGGCCTTTCTTCCCCAGCACTTGCTTTTCCTGTCTCTGGCTCTTCTGTTCCTCCCATTAAATAGGTATTTAGTTCAGTTCTGTCTTCTTACTCCTAGTGGTTCTTGGGCAGCTTCTTTCAAATCCGACTCCAGCTGTCCTAAATCAGCTGACTCTTCCTCCACAGAGCAGGTCTCCCCGAGGCCCAGCTGCGGTCTGGTGCACGTCCTCATGTAGACTCCTCCCAAGTAAACGCGTCTCAGGGCCAGCAGGTGGCGCAGTGCTGAGGCGCTGGACCCCCACATGGCACATGGCTGGCTGCACTTTGAGTCTGGGGCCTGCAGGCTTCAAAACCACAACAAATAAATGCTAGTTTGTTTGTTTTTTTCCACTATAGGGCACATGCGCTCGCCAAAAAGACAGAGACAGAGTGACAGGAAGTGAGAAATCACCCCCCAGGAGGGGTGGCCACGCCGCAATCTCTTCTCTTCTCCTCTCGGGATCTTGGGCACGCACGCACACATGCTGGCATGAGTTTAAGCCGCCAGGTCCGGGACTCGAACTGCAGTCAACTACATGGGAGTCCAGCGACATAGCCATTATGCTAACTGCTGGTCCCAACAGATAAGTGTTTTAAAAAAACAAAGTGAACATGTCTCAGACTGTCAGCCCTGGCCCCGGTACCCCAGTACTCCTTTACTCCAGTTCTCCCCAGTCACCTCAGCCTGGGAAGGGCTACCCAGCCTATAGTTTCGTTTTTGTTTTTGTTTTTACCTCAGAGATGGCAGTATTGGGGGAGATAAAGCAAGCCACCAGGTCTAGGACTCAAACCATGGTTGGCCATGTGGGAGTCCAGCACCTTAACCACCATGCCACCTGCCGGCCCCCACACATTCACTATTTCTGAGAACCACCTTTCAGTCCCTTTCCAGTTTTGGTTAAGTAGACCAGGTGAGTACTACACCAGGCTTCACACTACATAAACGCTTTCTTGGTTTTTCTGGGCTTCTCAGGGTGCAGTTTCTCGGTTCTGCCGTGGACCAACCTCCCGCGAGTGTCACTGACATCAGGCTCTTGGTTTTTGCCATGCGAGCCCTGAGGCAGTGCTGCTCACCCGGCGGCTCCTGGTGCCTGAGCAGCCCAGCCCTGACGTGAAGGACTCCACATCTGGATGCAGTAGGTGAGTGTTCCATGTAAAATTATGACTAAGGGGACTCTCGTTTACGTTTCTAGTTTGCTATAGGATGTGTGTGCTCGCCGGAGACACGGAAAGTGGGAAAGCACCTCCCACCATCCCAGGGGATGCCGCCTGGCAGTCCTGTCTCCGCCTGTGGGATTTCAGGCTCGCACATGCACACCTGGTGTGTGTTTCCTGTCTGTGGGTCCAGGACTCGAACCATGTGGTGGGCCACGTGGGATGCAGCCACCTTCTGGCCCAAGGGCACCTCATGTCTGTTTATTTCTGTGAACTAGAGTACAGTGTCCCCAACAGGGTCTCGGTGCCATAATCCATTCCCAGCTCCACATGTGCCTGGGGTACCAGGGAGGGCTCCAGACATGAACCTGGAACCTGCCCATGCGGCTCAGCCTCACGGATGTCAGGGCACTGCTGTGCTCCCACCAGGTCCCTCAGGGCACTGAAGGGCACCGTGGGGACTGACTTCTGGGAGAGCACTGCTACAGAGGCCGCGCTGGTGCCAGGCTGGAACTGGGCCCCAGATTTCCTCCCCGAGTTTCAAATGAGACTTGGAAACGATTCAGGAGACTGAGATCATAGGTTCTTTTAAAAAGTTTTTATTGTGATCTCTCTCTATACCAAAAAGTGATGGTTGACACAGGTGATCACTGTGCTGCCAGCATCTGGCAGTGGTCGCTGTTACGTACCCTCAGCTGAGTCCGGGGAGCTGACACCAGCCCAGCCCTGGCCGCCACTCCCTGCTGCACCCTGGGAGCTGGCTCAGGAACAAGGTTCTGCATCCCTTTGGGCAAGTCCCCAGACTGGGCCTCAACCGACAGCTTTTTTCCATCATATTCCTTTTAAATCTAGGCCACAAACACCAAGTGTCAGCCCAAGATGCGTTCTGCCTTGGGGCCTGAGACCGCACAGCCCGAGGGCTGCCCAGGTCGGCTGAGCTTTGCTGGAGCAGAGGGTCCGTCTCTGCCTCCCCCGCACGGGGAGGGGGGGTCTGCTCATGTGACCTGCTGGCTCTGAGCCTCCTACCAGAGCCCCAGCTCCCCTCTGGAAAGGAGCTGTCCGCGCTGCCTTCATCTCCTGCTGGTGCACCCAGTGCAGGTGCACGGGCCTGCGCTCCTTGCTCGTGCTCAGCCCCAGGCCCCTGCGCTCGGGCAGCACTGGCCTCCACTTGGCCTGGGTCCCGTGCGTGCTCACCCGGTACCTCTCACCTAAGAAACCTCTACCCTAGGGTCAGCTGGCTCCTATTTTTCTCTACGTTCTGATGCTTTGGTTGGACTCGGGCCCACAGCAGGCTCTGGCTCCAGAGGAAGAGACGGTGGCTTTGTGAGCAGGGACGGTCCTCCAGCACCTGGTGACAGAACCATAGCATGAGTTCTCAGATGCACCATTCCAGAGAAAAACCCACAGTTCCAGGCCCAGCAGGACTGGTGTATCTGCAACCTGAGGGAGAGCCATGATGAGTTACTGAAAGAAATCTTTAATTACTGTGACAAGCAGTGACAGTCACAGTGACAGCACAAAGGCCCAGTGTACTGGCCGTCTGCTCTGACTGCAAGTGTCAGCCTGGCCCCAGGGCTTTATCCCTGATGGCCCACGACACCGACACTGGGCGGAGATGCATCAGAGTGTGCGGCTCACTCAGCTGGAGGGGGTGATGGTGCTTGGCGCTGGGTGCGGCCCTACCTGAGGGGAGCCTCCTGGACGCAGCTGCTGAAGACATGGCCTGGCCCAGAGCCTGGTTGGAGCCCAGGGGCTGCTGGGAGCCGGCAGGTTTACTGGCTGAGGCAGTCCGGTGCTTGGATTTGGGGTCTCTAACCGGCTTCGTCCAGACCAGCGCCTCCCCAACCTGGAGAGCGGCTCCCAACTTCTGTGCTGTCTCTACCACCTGGGGGAAGCGAGTCACGGGACGGCTACGGAGAGGGCCTCCCACCCAGTTCTCCCAGGGCGGTGGCGTCTTGGTGTCAGGGAGGAAATTACAACACAGCCAACACCGACTGCTCTTGCTGAGGGCAGTGGGACCCCAAAGCCAGGAACTGAAGGCGGGGGCAGTGAGTGGGACCGACCTCCACACACAGCTGTGACGGTAACAGGTACCTGAGAGCCGATCTCCTCCTGCTTCCTTCTAGGAAAGCTTTCCTCAGGCTGCCACGGCCCTGGACCCCTGCTGCCTGGACAGGCGAGCAAAGCACCCCAAGCCCACCCCAGGGGCTCGACCCAGAGTCCTGCCAGCCTGCGGGAGCTCACGCAGACGTACCTCGGGATCGAACTCCACGGCACTGTCGTCCTCGAGCAGGCCGACCTTCCGCTCCACCTCCCGGTACTGGGCCAGGGCGGCCGCCTTGTCACCCTGGTTGTACAGCAGCACGGCGTAGTTGAGGCTGACCAGCGGGTTGCACCTGCGGACAGACAGGCAGACGGAGCGGGCGTTTGCAGAACCGTCACTGCACCCAACAGAACGGGTGTGTGTGTGTAGCATGGGCCTGGCAGGAGGCACAGCAGGGCCTGGGACCGAGCCTGGCACCTGGACCACCACCAGAGACCATCCAGGGAAGGATGAGGGGGGTCCCTCTCTGCCGGCCAGGAGGTGCCCTGCCGCACAGCCTGCCCACAGTGGCCCTCAGCCCGCTCTGACTTCCTCCGGCCGTGGACACTGAAACGGGGACTGGGAAGGTTTTCTCACAACGTGTCAAGTCCTGCTAGGCCACTGTACTCGGGGCCACATCCTCGCACACCGAGGCTGGCTGTGTACAAGGGCAGGCTGACGCCAGCAGCCCCAAAGCTATCGCCACCTCGTGGCCCTGCAGGGTCCGGAGCTCCAGCCCTTCCCACTGACCTGTCCAGGTTCACGGCTTCTGTGTAGGCTCTCTTGGCATTCTCGATGTCTTCTAGGTTGGTCAGAGCCACTGCAGAGAACGAATACTGCCGAGCGCAGCCCCAAGACAACGCAGCACCCAAGACTGCCCCCAGCCCCCAGCCACCACCCTCTCGCTCACGGCCACGTCTGCTGCAGGTACGTGGCTGCCGCCTCGCGTGCCCTGGCAGTGTCCCCCACCGCCCGTCCTCACTGCCAGCAGGCGCCTTACTGACAGGTGAGCTGACCACATGTCACTGGGCCCGTCACCTTTAACCACGGCCTTTACCCTTTCACTGAGCAGCTGCACACTCCCTCCTTTGTAGCTGGTACTCCTAGAAGCCTAATCCATGGAACAAGTCAGAGCAAACAGCTGCTTGGAAGCCCTGCCCTGGCTGCGCACTCAGCTCGAGCCAGGGCCCCGAGGGGCGACCAAGGAGTGCAGCTGGACGGCTCGGCCTCTAGGATGACGTCCTGGCGTGCGGCTTGAGGCCCCCATCTGGCCAAGCACCTCTACTGCCTGTCTCTGGCCACCTTCTCAGGCGCTGCCCATGGACGACAAGCGCCCTCCCAGCACCTCCTGTCCTCGGTCTCGGGTGACAGCCGTCTCCACGGTGCAGCCAGAACTGCGGCCTGTCCTAACAGGACAGTTGTTCGCAATCGTGTCCTCCCCAGAACTGGCCAGCTGCTCTCCGGCAGCCCCTAAGCCACAGTTCACCTTGCAAACTCGATCTTACAAATAAGAGCCCCAGCGTAATGGGCAGAACACGGCCCGAAAACACTGGCTAGGTCATGGAACCTGCTCTAGGCTTAGTATGGAGAAAATATTCTCCAGGAAAAAAATGTTTTGAAATAAAAACTTTTAAATTTTTAAGTGTGTGATTCTGACTCACTTCCTGTGATGTTTTACTCTCTGTGTGACTCGGAATAGCTTCAGGAACCGAGATGGCTGCAAACCCACTGAAGGGCTGGCGGAACACAGCACCAGGCTCCAGACTAGGGCCTCCTGCCGGGACTGAGCCCAATCATCGTGGACCAGCCCCAGGCCGAACCCCGCCCTGAGTGTCCCACGGGCGCAGTGAGCTGCAGGCAGGCCCCACGCAGCCCACGACTCCAGCTCCCTCCCCCACAGCCGGCTGGCCGCCCCGTCTCTTACCTGCCAAGAGCATGTAGAGCTCTGCCATCGCGGGCTGGAAGCTGATGGCGGCGCTGAGGAAGTGGAAGGCCGACGCGTACTGCTGCATGGTCAGGTGGACGAGGCCCAGGTTGTACAGGACCTTCCAGTCGAAGGGTGCCAAGTAGTTGGCTCGTTTCAGGCAGCTGATGGCCTGCGGGAACGAGGGGTAGTTGGTGAGGGGCCACAGCAGGCCCCAGGCTGAACACGGCTGACGCGTGGGGACGCGAGGGGACGCTCACCGCCACGTATTTCTTCTTGCCGAAGAAGCACATGCCGATGTTGTTCCAGAGCGGAGGGCTCTCCGGGGCAGCCCTGGCCACAGCTCTGTACTTGGTGAGTGCGACATCGAAGTCCCCGTGGAGCTGCGCCATGCTGCCTGCTGCCAGGACGGCCTGGAACGGATTACACGCAACCTGGTCACTCCTGAGGGCCATGGCACTGCAGTAGCCCCTCTCACACAGGACTGAACCGCCACGTTTAGGGACCTACGTGACATGCACTACTGGGACAGATGCACCTGAGGCTCCCCCACATTCCACACCCACCACCAGGCTCTCAGGCACAGTATAGAAAAGCCAAAATCAAATGCCACCAGCAGGCCAGCCAGTGGTAAGGCAGTTAAGGCAGCTGGAGTCCACATAGCCAGCTGCACAGTTCAAGTCTCAGACCAGTTTTGAAAAACGCTGGGCACATGCACACACATGCCCAAAATCCTAGAGAGAGAAATGGAGAAGGGACTGCAATGTGACCAGGCCTTGTGGGGCATGCCACATAGCCAGCTGCACAGTTCAAGTCTCAGACCAGTTTTGAAAAACGCTGGGCACATGCACACACATGCCCAAAATCCTAGAGAGAGAAATGGAGAAGGGACTGCAATGTGACCAGGCCTTGTGGGGCATGGCTTCTCTGTCTCTCCAGTGAGCGTACACACCCCATGGCTCGCTTTACCAAGCTGGTCTGTCTCCTCCTAGCCAGGGAAACGAGAATTCCAGAGGATCAGGCCCCTTTACATAAAATCTATCTTTGACCTGCTCTCTGTGCTCCTGCTCAGTACAGTATGTACCCAGACACCTCAAATTCACTGTCCTTGGCTACTTAAGGTACAGTTCTTCCTGCCACTCAGAAGGAGAGGCGGCTCTGGGCTTCCTCGGCCCCACCTGCACTGCCCTGGGGACAGCGTCCAGCTGGGTGCCAACACATGGACTCCTCTATCAGTCAGGTAGGTCCTGGCTCACCTCCTCCAGGGCGTGCATCCACCTGGAGGGCTTCCTTCTCCCCCAGTCGCACCTGCATGAAAGCTGACATCACACCCACTGGGGGCGTAGAAGCCACTTCCCCAGAACTACTGTTCGCAAGAGCCGTGTTCACTTGGTGGACCCCCGCACAACGCAGAACCCTGACAGAAGCACAGCTGCCGAAGTCACAGGCCGGTGTAGACAACAGCCTCCTCTAGAGGATACACGGATCCCCAACACCTTGTGGCACTTTCCAAAGAGCAGGGCAACCCTTTCTATTTCTTCTTAGAAGACAAGGCTCCTCTGCTCTCCAGAACAAAGCCGCTGCCCCCAGCCCTCCAGGGTCCGTCACCTCTGGGAGCGGCAGGCCTGTCTATGAGGCTCCGATGTGTCCAGCCCACAATACCTTGTAGTTGGTGGGGTCGTAGGTGAGCGCTTTTCCAAGGTGTTCGAACGCCTTCTGGTACACGCCAAGCTTGGGAGGAAGAAGAGCATTTACGTCAAGGAGACGCAGTTAAGGAACCGGTCAGCTGCACCCTGACTGTGGGCAGGCATCTTGACAAAAAGGAGCTACAGCTCGGGATAAAGAAACGAAGGCTCCCACATTCCAGGTTCCCTAGTTTGCCAACTCGCCCTCTGATGAGGTCGAAGGAGCTATCTGTAGACGTCTACACCCCTGGCAGGAGGGGCTGGTTAGCCTCCTCTCCCTTGGGCCCAGCGTCCAACCAAAGCCTGGAGCACCCAGGGTTAGGATCCCAATTCCTTTTGGAGAAAAAGGAAAAAGG